CGGATTTTTGTTGTTGTAACTGCACGATGTTCCTTACTCGCGCACGCTTTGCTATGCCCTGTCCTGTGCTCTCTTCCCACCACGCCTTAATTTTAATCACAACTGTAATCTCTTCTTGCTCCTTCTTGGGGACTGGGGGTGTAACTGTAATCTTCTCCTTCTTTGATTTCTTTATGTGCTAAAACATGCGTCATTTTTCTGTCTGTCTCATTGGCCGAAAAACTGCATGACTGGATCGATGCATGGAGAGTGCCTACGTCCCCCACGTCGCGGCTCAGTCATGCAGTTGTAGGCACTTCCTTCCTCTCTCTTCCTTTTGTTTTAGCGTAATCCGGGATTGTCTCGCGCAGATACTGAGTGATATAAAAGTCTGCAAGCGCGAGTAACTCGCTCTCTAATGTACACTTTCGAGTTACCGCGGTCGAGAGGATCGGCTAACGAGCGGAGACATGACGGTGAGTCGGGAGTTGGACGATCTGACGAGTTGATGCTGAGTGTGCGGGGTTGGTGCATGGCCGCGAAGGACTGTAGCACGCAGGCGAACCTGGCTCCACGCTCAGATCAAGCGGGGTGACAACTCCATGATTGTTGGTAGGTGCGAGGCGACGGATTGCCCCCATCGGAGAAGCGCTGAAAGAGAAAGAGCGTGGTGTGCTGGAGTGGTGTTTCCTCTCCGCATCTTCTGTATAATTTTGATTTTTGTATTGAACATCCTCGTTTGTGGCAATCTCATATTTTCTTTTCTTCGATTGATGTGTGAATTGTCTCTTTTTCCCCCACCTGTTTCTTTTTGATAAACCAAGGATGTACCGCGGTTGCAAAGTCGATTGATTGTTTGGCTGCCTCGAAAGGATGGGTGATGTCGATTGTCGAGTCGAGGGAATATTGCATGTCACGTCTTGTTGTTTGATGTATGGGAAATTTCTCCTTCGTTTCTCCTTTTATACACCCGTATGTTTGTGAATGTTGCCTTGATCGGTTATTTAAAGTCTACGGATGTCGTATTCTTGGATAGACCGAGCGTGGAATAGATGCATGTATAATGAGTTATCTTAAACCTTGTTGGAAACAGATCCTATGCACACACGTATACGAATGACCAAAAAGGCGGTCATTACGTAAACACGTGTTTGCATTATCCGTCTCCAACACGGTTGCGCCACGAACGCACGGATGTATGAATTGAAATTTCCTCCCGAAATATGGATATCGGCATTCCACTTTGGATCACTAATCGCGACTATCCGAGGAACCACGAGTACCAGAGGAACTGGGAAAACAAGCACCTCTCTCGTCGATCGAGATTAAGACTTCTTATATTTCCATGCCGAACTGAGAATGATCCACTGTGTGCATGGGACTTCCAGTAGGCCATAGGACAAAATCCTCGAATCCCGATTACCCGACACGCATAACCACCAGGCCTACGTGGAACCAGGATTCGTCGCCATCAAAACCAATTTCCCTCTCTTCTATCTCCTTCTTCCGTACCACAATCTAACAATCGTCCCTTGGAATGCGATAGCCCCCTTCTGGCCCCAAAGGTCGTGCTCTGAGTGTCGGTAGTATTACACCTATCGAGTCGTGGGATTTGTTAGGCGAACCCGTTCTGAAGCTGAGCACCGAGAACTCAGCCTCCGGCTAAGGCCGTCCACGTTAGATTCCGAAGTCCGTGAAACCTGCAGGCGACACGTTTTGGAACAGAGAGACACCCACTGCGTTCCCTTGGTACACAGAATACGAGCCCGACCCAGACCAGGCTGACAGAACTAGCCGCCCTGCTCTAGGAAGCGTAGATCAGAAAACTTGGTCCCTCGCTGAACCACTTGCACTTTTGTCCTTGAAACTTGACACTGGAGATCTCAATTTCGACATGGGACTTCACCCCACTTTCCTAAAATCCTTGGCCCACCCCTTTTAGGCACTTCCGAGCCCGCTCCCACTCCGAAACAAGAAGCCGCGCCAGGCGCGAGGTTGGGCGTCACATTGTTCTTCATAATTTTCAAAAGCGATAATGGGGCCCATTTCCAGCATGTGTGGGGATAAAAGAGGTGATGTGTGCGAGGATAGCATGTCAGGGAGAAATCTTCGGGAGGGCTGAGTGGGGTGGAACGAGTAGTGCAGTGAGATCCATATACCGAGCCTAGCCTATGGACCTCACCGCATCACTCACCAAATTTAGAAAAGACAACAAATTGAATATCTACCATTTATCCTCAGCACATTTCAGTGCTCCGACTCCAACCCCGGACTCCCACTCGTGACTGCGCGCTTTTCAGGCCCATTCTTGGGGCCATGTGAATGGGCGGTCGACCCTACGTCAAAAATCACACATCAACTTCCATGCGAGCCTAGCTGGCGGTCGACCCTACGTGTTTTGTCTGGTCGCTAGACCCGAAACTCTTTAGGGGTATTTTGCGCTACAAGGAGATGACGAATCGACGTTGTCAATAGTGCTAATATACTCAGTCGTACAGGGATTTCTACTTCGGCTAGTACAACAAAACAACTGGAACCTACCGGATTCATCAGTCCCACACGCGGACCCAAAGGGAACCCGCACCTTGGTTTCATTATCCCTTGTGCTTAATTGCTAGAAGGACAATCTGCAAGGCCCATATTGACCTCCTCGCACTTTGACCCCCAAATTCCTAGACCCTTCGAGCCTGCATTGTCCACGTTCGAAAAAACGCCCCCATTTAGTCAAACATTTCACCCAATCGCTCCAAATGTCCCCAAATTTATTCGAAAAATTAATCAACGCAGAATCAAAAAATTCATCCTCAAAATTCCTCAATATGAACTCCACTGTCAGTGTGAGCAGGAAAGACAACACCGCCCCTGGCATATCAGTAAACCTCTTCGCTCTATGAAAAAAGAGACCCACAACTGCCAACTTCTGTTGTCGACTAGTGTACGAACAGACATCCTGCAAGTTCTGAAAGTGGTTCTCTTTGAAAATACTCCTCTGATTCTTGTGTACAGCCGCACAACGCACTCCGAGCGGCCACCCAAAATCTTTCACCACAGAACCTAAGAAATCCCAACATTCCAATCTACTAGAAGATTCTAACTTCAAATTCGAGTCATAACATCCTTCAAATTCTGACATGCGCCCTTTTAATAGAAGAAGCATTCCCCAATAGTACTTTGATAAAAATAGACACATCATCAATCAGCCTTATCCGATGGACCAATCTGCGATTTGTTCCAAGGGAATACGAAAATGAGAATTCCGAAAAGGCGCACAATAAGCAAGCAATAGCAGGACTCGATGACCTCCTCATCCGAGTGCCAATGACCTGTTGCAAGATAATACCTTCGGCCCTCACAAAGGTATTCTTAAGATCAATAAAATGATTAAAATCCCTTCATAGCTTGAACTTAACAGATGCCCAACCTTCCGGTGTTCTTTCTTTCTAATCCTAGCACCCTTGCCTATTTTTTTTATAAGAGTTTCCTTAGCTCCGTGATAGGTCCAAAACTCGATAAGCCAATCACCGATATCCAGAATGGAGGGATGGGGCGTGTTACAAAACATTTCCTTAATATCATATGCAGCTGTAACACGTCTCTTCCCTTCTTAAGGTCCTTATTAGTCTCTTTCAACCCTTTCATCAACATATCAGTACTTTCCAGATTGAAGTGAGATATTTTCGGTAATTCACATACCATCTCATTCACCGCCTTAGATACCTTACGGTAAACCCTAATGCTACAATCAGAAAAAGATGGGCAAATAAGGCACCACTCATTAACGTCCTTGTGTTTGAAAATTGCATAAGCTAACCCAGAACTCCCCTTCTTATCTCATATAGCAAGCTTTCTTAAACCCTTCTCTTGATGTTATTTTTGCAACCTCTGCAGTATATCATTTCCTTCTCACAGACCACACGGAAGCCCGCATTCTCCAGAAACAATTTCCTCATCCAAGACCAATATAGCTAAGGGCAACAAACCAAGGTATCTCCGGGGTTATGATCAATTTGAGAAGGTTAACAACAGTCGTATTTTTCATCACCACTTCAAGACAGCATTCACCACTTCAGGATGCAGCCTGCCTAAACAGGTGGTTTTCAGGGTCTTCAGACCTTTCACCACTTCAGGACACCCTTCACCACTTCAGGATGCAGCCTGCGTAAACATGTGGTTTTCAGGGTCTTCGGACCTTTCACCACTTCTTGACCATTCAGGATTTTTACAGTGCCCAAAACTCTCACTTCACCAGTCCAGGATACAACCTGCCTAAACAGGTGGTTTTCAGGGTCTTCGAACCTTCCACCACTTCAGGACCATTCGGGATTTTCAGACTGCCAAAAACTCTCACTTCAGAATTTTCATTCCTGAATTTTCAGGTACCCGTTAACCGCTTGTGTGATCAATCGGAACTTTGGCCAGTCCTTTCAATCTTCTCATCTGTTTTTTTTTTTCTTTTCTTTTTAGCTTCGTATACGAGAAACCTACTTAACGCGGTGATAAGAGCATCCCCAGTAAGTAGGCTCTGACGTCGAAGTTTTCATCTATCGGTGGGGAGCTACACCTCCTGGAAATCGGGTTCAGCGTCCCTGTACAATGATGAAAATGTATCTGCTGGAAATCAGGTCCAACGTCCGTATGCAATGGTGTGAATGTATGTGCTGGAAAACAGGTTCAGCGTCCCTATCCATTTAATCTATAGAGTCTCCAAAATAAATTGAGGCATCAATCCAATCAGACGAAACCCTAACCAGGATGTAATGTGTATTACAATGATGTGATTCGTATCTATTGGAAACCGGGCTCAACGTTCCTATATCGTGTTGTGTAACTATGTTCAACAGTCAGAAACTATCTATATATGTCTTTATTCTATATCTACCAAAGTCTATCACGAAACCCTAAGCACGATATGATGTATATGATCTTATTATCACTCAATCCTAAAAGCAAAGCTCTATCAATGATGAGAGATGTATGATCTGGACGTCAAGTCCAATATCCAATATGCATTATCATGTGAAACTGGCATGGGGCATTGATTACTTTCCTGCGCAGGGAAGGATTGACCTCTTGCTAACTAATCCCTAAAGCCAACCAACGGGACGATCAACCCCTCATTGATGATTGGTATTGCAGATCGGGCAACATCAATCACCACCAACTGTCCTACTCCTATCCTCTGCCAAACCACGAGGAGGAATTTCGTATCGAGGTTGGAAGGGGGGAAAGCAGTAGACCACTTCTCTGTATCAACCCCATATCCCACCACGTCCGCTTGCAGCATCACTATCATCGCGCTGATGATAATCTCAGATGCACAAATGCTGCTTCCTACCTCGTTGCTCCCTTGGTCGTCGTCGCCGTCGTCGTCATCCTCGTTGTTATTGTTGTTGTTGTTGTTGTTGTCGTAGTCACTATCGTTGAGAAGGGGGGAGATGGCAAATCGTTTTTCCGTACCAACCCCAATCTCCCCTACGTCCGCTTGCGGCATCTCCCCCATCATGTCGAAGATGATCGCATCTGCACAGACACCGCTGTCAACCCCGTTGTTTCCATAGTCGTCACTGCCGTCGTCGTTATCATTAATGTTGGTATTATCGTTGGTGTTGTTGTTGTTGTTGTTATTGTTGTTGTTAATGTTGTTGTTAATGTTTTCGCCCGTTGTTGTTGTTGTTTGTGTTATCGCCACTGTTATCATTGTTGGTGTTGTTGTTGTCGCACCCATTTTTACTGTCGCACGCAAGTTTGTCACTATCCTTGATGCTGCTGTAATTGATGTTATTGGTATTGTTGGTGTTGTCGCCGCAATCATCTTCGCCCTCCAAACTACCCTCCAACCCGTCATCCATGTCACCCTTGTCACCCATCTCACCCATCTCACCACCTCGCTGTCAATTCTCCAGCTGATTGTATAGATCGCGCCCCTGTGTAAAGAGGGTTTTGCAAGCACCCATCCTATCATCCGCCCACCTCCAGTCGATGTTACGATGTAGAGATCGAGCCGGGGATCCGGCCCCTCCTCCAGCTCCCACATGATGTTTAGCATTTCCAGAGTCATGTCTTCCAACCACTGATCCATCGAGATCGCCCCCCCATTGATCTCCACCCCTTCCCGCTGCCGCAGCATAAGCACCCCCACCATTGTTTGTAGTTGCTTGCATCCCTCCTCTAGTGTGGCAATCATTATTCCGCTCGATGTTATAGCTCCCCCACCAAATCCATCTCTCCCCCCATTAGCTACGATTTTCCCTTCCGTTCTAATACATTCTCAACACAATATTCATTGCTACCCTTATATCCGAACTCCTCCACACAATCCCTCAACTCTCCCCTATAAATTTCTGGAGTCAAAAAATTCAATGTTTGTAACGATTTCATTAACTGTCTCTGCAACAATTCGTACACATATTTCCTTGATGGTCGCAGGATGTTCTTGTTATTCCTGATCCAGGTAGGTGCTTCGCCTTACTCATTAAGACAGAAACACACATGTTTCCCAACCCTCGGAAATCCCTCCTTTATTAGTTCACAACAACACAAAATACCATCGCCCCTACTTGTTGTTCTAAAATCGAACAAAAGTTCCCTCATACTTTTATTCTTCAGCCAGACAACCCTCATACGTCTAACAACCATTTCCTTCCATTCCTGCGCAACATGAGCATTCATAATCAACCCCTTACAGTAATCCTTGATGTTCGTTTTGCTAACTCTCTCATCATAGGTGATCTTCACCACAAACCTTCTCTTGACATTAACCCCAAAATTTATCAAGATCACACCCGATAAATAACCTGAAGAGAGTCTCTCGAGCGTTTATTTGAGAAACCATAGGCCAAAAAGGAAGAGATCAATGTCGGAAAATCCCATTGTGCCAATTCTTTACACTGTGACGGATTAGACAGCATACTTCACAGAGGAGTTTTAAGTGCAACATATCTAGCACAGAAAAGGACAATAGACGAAAAATATACATAGGTACCTTAAATAAACATCCCTTTGCACCTTTTAAGTAGTTCAACCTCTCCCTTGCAATGGATAATAGAGGACTCAAATTTACGTTTTACCACCTTTCAGTTTTTTGTCCATCTGCTCCCTTCATAGCATAAAACAGTAACAACATCTACATAAGAAATCTTGTTTTCCCTACAGTAGTCAAAGATACAGGAAATTGAAGAAGATACAACACCAACCATCGAATGGAACATGATGTGTGTTTTCAAACCCCGCCCCTTGATATAGGCAACATTCCCCTCCTCTTACACCGTTCCTTCCTCCTTAACCTTCGTCTTTTATACTTACTTACTTTGTCCCTGCGGTTAAGATGAGGACTAGTTGACCGGATGATATTTCGTTCCAGAGATAACATATCCTCCTTCTTACACCAAAATAGCGGAATAGCAACATATTGCCCTACCCCGTTCCTTATCAACCACAAAATATAACTTATGGTTACGCTCACCTCCATCTACAACCTTTCCACAAGTAACCCTATACACGTGCTCTACCTATCGCACATGCAACGAACGGAAAGTAGAGCCCACATACAAGTGCTTAACCCAGGGAGAGATCAACACATACACTGAAGGGCCGTCACATTCTTCCAGATCAACTTCACCAGCCAAAAGCTCAAGAAAATATCCCCTGAACTTTGTTGCCCACAGAATCTGCCCAGCAAACACCAATCTCAATACAATTAAGTGGAAGAAACTGTTGAAGACTCTGTCCCTTATGAAGTCTACAGAAGGTGCTACATCTTGCAACTCATCTATATTCTTATCCACAGGATATAAGCCTATCCACAGGATATAAGCCCACAGCATCAGCCCCAAGTGAAACAGGACAATAAGTAGAAAGTGATGTCACTCCGGAGAGACTAATCAACTCTATTTCCCTCACCGTCACTATCCGTAGAAGGACCCGGCGTTTACTCTTACAATACCTCGCCAGTGCCCATAGATTTGTCGCGCTCCGGAACCATCCAGGAGCTCAGTTCAAGCATCATCTGCCTCCGTTGGATCATGGTTCTCCTATGACGGTTCCACCTCAACTACCTTCGGACCTTTACCCTTGTCATCACCATCCCCAAAAACCCTCTTAACCCGATAGTCAATCAACACCTCAATTATTTTGTCGCATTTACCTGACTTCAACCCTGCTTCCTTACATAACTGCTCCAATCCCGACTTCCTTAATAACCCCAATTGCTGCCTTTGCTCTTGTGCAAAGCCCTCCCGATCGTTTGTCTTCCTGACTATTCCCTTACCCGGCGTAGCTTTCATACATTTCCCCGCATATCTCAGGGCCACGACCTCCATTTTCTCCTTCAGGTTTCCGCCTCCCCATCCTTGGTCGATAACTTACTCATCTTCTTCTTCAGGTTCAATACTTCCAGAGTGGCTTCAACATTTTTCTTCTTCAACATCTCAACCGCCACGAAGTTAAGTCTCTGTAAGTCCTCGAACTTCTTGTATTCTGCCTTCCATTTTTCGCCATCACGTCCCACATCTGTCCATCTTGGTTTTGGTGTTCCTTTGTTGGTAAGATTGGCGTCTCAATAGCTATACTCCAACGTTTGTTACCCGGCCTCATAAATTCATCTTTCCACAGACGCGCCTCATTTGCGGCTCGTTCACTCCTCCCCCTCTGCACCACCAACTCGATCTTAAGATCGTTGACCTGCTGCTCCAAGTCAACTCGACTGTTGGCTGTACTCCTGAGCTGTTCGATCTCCTCTTTGATCGTCACTATTTCATCCTCATTCATTTTCATCTGCCCCATCTGTCTTTTCGAGTCGGTAACCTCCCTCTGTAACTTCTCCACCTCCCCTTCATCATTGTCCCCAAGCAGCGCCCGTTTTGGATCCGCATTCTCCCTTCTTAATCTAGCTATCTCGGTTTCCTGCGAATTATCTTCCTTCGACTTCCCATTATGTACCGCTTGACAGACAATCTTCACCTCGAGTTGGGTCCTTCTCACTTACTCTTCCTTATCGCTTTTAGCTTTCGCCTCTTCTCTTTGTAGCCTCTCCTTCTAAGTGTTCTCACGGTCCTCTATCATCTTTCCATACACCTGGTCTAACTTCTTCTGGTTACTCTTCCAATGTCGCGGCTACCCTCCGTAATGATATCCATTCGAGCTCGAGTTAGTAGCCGGATTCATATTAACCGGGTGATACCCCGACGTCGGCACCATATTGTTATGCGGTGCAGGAAGGGCTAACATCGGAGCCCCTGTCGGAACCTCATTTGCTCCCGTTGTCGACGGTATGTACCCTCCGTTCCTTTGCGGACATTCCCGATAAAATGGTGCGGCGACCCACAAGTGAAGCACGTCCTAGATGGTGGTGAAGCAACCATAGCTCAACAACGTTAATACCACAAACAAGGAGAACGAAGGGAGCGAAAGAGAAGGAGAAAACAGTTAGTTCGGCAACACTCGTTTACGACAGCAAGTTACACACACGTAGTTTAATATCTACAACGGTTGTTATGTTGAGAGGATGGTTGTGCAAATCACGTTCATCCAACATAAACAAGATATGCAAAACGAAAAGACACAAACAAGAGCATCCAAACGACTGACACATGTAGGGAGAGCAGGACTACATGTAGAGCAACACAACAAAGACACAAACACCATGCATACGTGAGAAAAGAGCACACACGAAAGCGTCGAATCCCCAAAAAACTCCCGAACGCGCCAAATTAGGCTTCCAAATAACATCGTCTTGAGACCATAGCCTATCAGCTCGATCCGAAGGTAGGCGTCGCCCCCATGTCGTCAACTTCCATGCGAGCCTAGCTGGCAGTCGACCCTACATGTTTCGTCCGATCGCCAGACCCGGAACTCTTCAGGGGTCTTCTGCGCTATAAGGAGATGACGAATCGGTGCTATCAACAGTGCTAATGTACTCAGTCATACAGGGATTCCTACTTCGGTCAGTACAACGAGACAACTGGAACCTACCGGATTCATCAGTCCCACGCGCGGACCCAAAGGGAACCCGTACCTTGCTTTCATTACCTCTTGCGCTAAATCACTAAAAGGACACCCTACAAGGCCCATACTAGCGTCCTCGCACTTTGCCCCCCAAATTCCCAGGCCCCTCACTGGTTGTGGGTATACCCATAATTTTGCCATCCCGGTTTTTGAGCATGAGCATAATTTTGTGGTCTGGAACTGAGGGCCTGAGGGATTGGGTATGCCTGCAATTTTGCACAAGGGAAAAGTTGGATACTATGCAAAAGTTGAACGGGTTCCGGATATAGATGCAAATTTGCACTGGGACTGGGTATAGGTGGGCGGTAACTGGGGCCGCGAGCAGCTTGTCAGTAATATTGCGTTACTAGTATTGGAAACAAGGTAAGTTGGCTAGCGTGCAAGCACCTCATCAATAATTTACTATTTCAGGGTGCTAGGGTGCTGCCCATCCCTATTATCACCATCATTAGTGCATCACCGTAGGGCGCGTTATTAGCAATTTCATCATCTTGATCGTAGTCATCAGTTATCATCGTCATCATTATCATCTTCATCACCATTTACTTTCATCGTGATCTCTCCCATCGGAAGTCGTCTCTCGTCAGCAGTATTCATCATCATCATCATCATCATCATCATCATTAGAATCATCATCATCATCATCATCATCATCATTATTATCATCATCATTGAAATCATAGTTACCAGTCATCATCGTCATCATTTCAATAATCATCAATCAAGGTTACCGCCACGAAGAGGAGCCGCGCGCGCTAGAAAACTGCACGCAGCAAGAAAAATAGCGCGCGCGCGCTCGACGATTGCGCGCGATTGGATGCACTCCATGAACTGAAAATTGGACCACGGGTGGTCTATGGCGAGGAGCTGAGGTGGTCCAAATTTCAGATCAAATGGTCAGGCGGATTATGAGATATCGAAGATCTAGGGCGCGCCATGAAATTCGAGTGTGTCGGGTGATGCACTATCAGCAAGTCGCCATCAAGATTACTAGTCATCATCACTCCCGGTAAGACAATCGTCATCAATACAATGGATAATTAGTTGACATCCTCATCATCTGATCATCAACACTATCATCCTCATTTTAGGTCAGCAATTAATATTTCTTCTGGGCAGCTTCATTAGCATGCTCACCCGCATCACAATTTTTTTATTACTCGTAATTCATTTGTAGGCGAAGTTGATCGCCACTACTGTCTTTAGGTTTGCTTCACTCATATAGTCATCCATAACACTTTCATCAT